TGTTGTGAAAATCTGTTAATTCTCAGCATTGTGTCTCGGACACGATTCGTCTGTAAGTATTGTTTTGTTGTCCTCTAGATATTATGAGGAGGAAGCGTACTGAGGTTTGTTGGAGCTAACATAGTTATGAGCTTATTATTAGCGCTGCTAGCTGTATGATTTGGTAGCCTATGTTGAGCAGTGAAACTGTGTTGTGCTAATTTCTGTTTGTCATTTGTGCTTTGTTACAGTTTACAAAAAACAAATAAAGAAGTAATTCATCATTGAATAACAAAAAACATCACGCCTTGTTTTTATTGGGGAATTACATCCTGTAAGCCGACCGTCTAGCTTGAACGGATTAATCATGGTGAGGACAGTCAAGGTTTTGTGTTGTGAAAATCTGTTAATTCTCAGCATTGTGTCTCGGACACGATTCGTCTGTAAGTATTGTTTTGTTGTCCTCTAGATATTATGAGGAGGAAGCGTACTGAGGTTTGTTGGAGCTAACATAGTTATGAGCTTATTATTAGCGCTGCTAGCTGTATGATTTGGTAGCCTATGTTGAGCAGTGAAACTGTGTTGTGCTAATTTCTGTTTGTCATTTGTGCTTTGTTACAGTTTACAAAAAACAAATAAAGAAGTAATTCATCATTGAATAACAAAAAACATCACGCCTTGTTTTTATTGGGGAATTACATCCTGTAAGCCGACCGTCTAGCTTGAACGGATTAATCATGGTGAGGACAGTACATGCTGGCTGAAATCCTATTGCCAATCCTGACAGTCTGGGGCCTGCCGGTCAGAAAGTCAAGGAGCCAGTCACAGAGGGTGGGGTGCAGACCCAGTGTGGACAGTTTGTGGGTGAGTTTGTGGAGGACAACTGTGTTGAAGGTGGAGCTGTAGTCAATGAAGAGTATCCTGATGTAATCCTACTATATTCTATTACATATTACATTTTAACTGGTATCTTGTTTGTTTTTAACCACTATATGCCAAAGATGGTTCAACCAGTCATTAAAACACAGTTCCCTGTGTCTCACTGTATCACTGTGTACACTACTAACTACACACACAAAGTTATCTTACTTTGTATATATTCTTTATTTCTATTACTATTAATCTATTGAGAACTTAAACATATTTTAGCTTTTTCTATTTGATTTTTATTAGTCAGGTAAAGTTTATTTATACCACTCCTTTCATACACAATGGCAGCTCAAGGTACCTCACATACACTATACTGTGTGAGCATAGATAAAAGCCATACAAAGTTAACATCAAAAAGATAATAAAAATAATATAACAATAAAAAAACAGCAAATCCCAACACATAATCTCTCTCACACACACACACACACCCATATCAATCCCTTGTACAAAACAATTCAGTACAAGCATATTTATAGGCACAGGAAACAGACATATTTTAAGTATATTTTTAAGAATACTGATGCTGGTGATTGAATGCAAGTCATCTGGCAAATTGTTCCAGAGAGTGGGACCTAGGTAAGAAAAAGCACCGTCAGAAGACTTTACATATAATTTTGGCACAGTTTCAAAATGACTGACGACATAAGGTGTCTAGAAGGATCAGTGAGCGAGTCATTCATATACCGAGGAGCCATTGGTTGGTACTGGCAGTACTGGGAATATTGTGTACAGGATAGAGCCTTGTTTATTAGTGATGGGCTGATCCACATTTTTTCCAATCCAGTTCCTATCTGATTCAGATACACAAACATAGCTTTGGTTTACTATGATTTCACATTTATCATTCAAAATGTAGCCAAAATTAGAGTATTATTAATTTATTATTAATAAAAAAAAATCTGTCCCACCTGTCTTTGTATTGAGGATCCAGTAAAGGGGCAACTGAACAGAGGGGATCATCTACGATCCCTCTTACATATGAGGTCCAAATATAAGTTGTGTAGCTTGTGGCTTTAACATCTTCTAACTGCCGCTAACTGTGATGACACTCGATTTTGTAGTTGGGGTATAGCAGTCTCTGAAATGTATTTTCTGGATGGCAGATTAAACCTGGGCTCTAAGTGCTCCAACAGGCTGTGAAATCTGACAATCAGGCAGTGGTTGCTCATCGAGTATAATGAAATTGAGCAACTTCTCTGTAATTCCTTTAGCCTTTGGGTTGTCTGCTGGAGGTTTTCGTGTTTTTGGAAAGCATCAGTGAGAGTGCCTGGTGGTGTCTTCTCTGCTGGCTAGCATGAACACCTGGTACTCTTTCACGTGAAACCTCTCTATGTGCTTAACTAAATTGGTTGTACTGTACGATGCAGGTGTGCTTTCACCCCTCGGCACACTGGCTTTACACACATTACAAGTAGTTCTCTTGATTTTCGGCATTTCCAGACTAAAATATCTCCAAACAAATTACATTTTAGTCAAAACAACTGCTGATGTTATTTGCTCACTGGGTTACAGACTAAAGTTGCCGCAGATTTATGGAAAGATGTGGAATGGAATCTGGATTGGTACGTGGACTGGCCCGATCTGTCTGATATCCAGTGAGTGAACGATGTCAATATCGGACCTGATATCAATATAGGATCAGATCAGGCCTATCTCTACTATCAAATCCTATCCCTAGCTGTTGGAAAACCTAAATTTCCCCTATGTGGGATCAATACATTATTATTGTTGTTGTTATTTGAATCCAATTGTTATTTTAGAAACTGGTAATTTTACCCTCGGCTGAATGCTACGTATGGCACTGTGATATACTGTCTTTCAAATTGCAGTACTGGAAATATTGTGTACAGAATAGAGCCTTGTTTATGTGGCAAAATGGAGGATACAACCACTACAATGTATTTGGAAATACAGGAGTATATTGGTTGAAATACATTCTATCAATGCTACAATTCAATTCATATCATGTGTCCATAAAAACACTGTCAATACCAATTTCAGCTTTTCTAGCTTTCCCGTTATACTGATCAAATCAAATGTCAACACTGCTGTTGCCCTCCTCTCTAAGGCTCCCTTTCCAGCCCTCTGGGTTACTGCCACATGGGTGATGAGGGAGTTACAGAGGCTCTGCATAAGCAGGGTCCTCTCAGTGTCATTCTCTGGGTTCTCCAGGCACTTAGCAGTTAGCCATAAAATGTGGGGACAATGCTATCATATACCAGCGTCACAGGTCTTATTCCCACCTGCAGAAGTTGGGAGGTAGAATGACAATGATGTTGATTGATTTGTCTGGTGCTTTTAATACCATCCAGCTCTTCAAGCTTAGGGAGAAGCTCAAAGTGATGCAGGGTGGACAGCAAAGCGTTCTGGATTTTGGACTGTCTAGCTCACAAACATGTTACACCCCCACCCTGTCCCCACCCACATCATGAGTTATTTAGGTTTGGGAAAGGAAAGAACGACATGAGGCTGCCAAAGGAGTCCTCTAGGCTGTTACAGGGGCCACCATATAAAGCTTAGCATCAGTTTGGCAAAGAGCCAATGAGTGGATTTCAGTCTGACACCATCCAAGATGAGGAGAGTGAAAAGGATGGTTTTAGTGGACTCAACAGTCTACTTAACAAGATCTACTAATCAGAGGAGGCCAGCACACATTTGTAATGGCTGAGAAAGTAGACAGGACTAACATAATGGTGAGGGAGAACAGCTTTTTATTTTCTCAAAAGCTGTAAGATGAGGACTAAACTAACCACTTTCCACCACCACAGTGGTGAGCTTGTGCAGCTATGGCACATAATTGCCTTCCACCTCATCTAACACAGGTGAAACAGAAAGATATTTAGCTGCTCATCTGTGCCTATAGTCATCAAACTGTACAGTAACTCTTGTCTGAATACATCCCAGCCAGCCTAGAGCCAACTGAGCTCTACTGCCCTGTCCTGACAGCTTGAGGTACTGAGCACACCTTTTTTCCATTGACATGGTTATGTGATTATATTATCAAATTCACATCAATACTAGAAATTAACATGTCTGCTCACATAATTTGTATATCATATCATAACAATGCAGCACCATGCAGATAATGTTTAGCATAGGTTGAAAATCATGGCTTCACATGTTTATGTAACCACAACTGTGGTGTATATGTTTACTGTCTGTAAGGCTTATTTTCTTTTTAAATCCCATTTGTCTTTTTTAATTGCCTATCATTACCTTTGTTACTGCAACAACCTCATTCCAATGATCTCAGCAGGTTCATCTTAATTTAAACAATGCACCTTATATATAAATATAATTTTGTTAACAAATTTTGCCTTTGAAACATTTTTATAATATTTCAAAATCAAATGAAATGGAAAAGACATGTGTAAGGAAGTCTATTTTTTTGTATGCAGATGCAGTTGTGTGTGGGTATGGGTGTAGGTAGGTGTGTGTGGATGCGTGGGTGCGTGCAATGGGGCCCTATCTCATATCCTTTCACGGGGATTCAAAACTTCTAGCACCACACCTGGCCTATTTTCTAATATAAAAACATCACATATGCCATAGATGCACACTAAAACCCTATGCAGAGAAAAGCGCGTCCCTGTAGGACTACCACAGAAATACTGTAATATGATGAGTGGGTGCTCTGGTGTGAACTCTTATCAAATATTTCAAAACATTTCATGAAAAGTGTAATGAATAATGCCTCCCTGAAAATTTGTCATAACTCCATAAGTATCACACAGCTAATCAAATGAGTAGGTACACAACCCCTGTAATGCTGAATGTGAGTATCTTGGCTCTGTGCCTCCTCAACAATATTAACCATCAGGATCAATAACATTCAAGGGCAACGAACAGCAGAGGCTTCATGTCGAGTTGGGCACGTTATAATACAGCATGCAAATGACACCCATGCAGTTATGACCTACATAAAAACAAGCATGTGTGGGTTTTTATATACAGTGTGTTGACCTTTAGTAACTCCGCTGTTTGGACCAACACATGGTGTCGGCTAAAACAGAGTCAATCCCCATGGCGCACAAAAGGAGACAGCCTAATATCAGTCATGTGATAATGAAATACAATTCAAGACTTACTTTAAAACGGCGCTCTCCCCCTGCCTGACGGTGATGTTGTCCTTTAATACTGAATCCCCGCTTCTGGCTGGAACTCCTGCAGGTACAAGGAATAACAATTTAAGTCCGAGGACGACAAAGCATTTCCCAGGTACTCCTAAATAGCCACAAATTCCCATGTTTGCTTTCTGTCGCTGCGCAACTTCCAGAAAAACTTGAACCGTCGGATATTCCTTTTGCGTCTTGAGCTACGGACCGCAAATTCCACTCCGCAAACAAGATGCAGTGTAGCCTGCTGGAACTGCGATCGACCTGTAAATGGGCTTGTTATGAAATACTGTCAGTGTCCATCAACGCAGAAAAAAAGTGTCTTCCGCCCGCCAGCCGCTCCAGGAAACTGACTTCGGAGGAGAGAGAAGCACCGTGTTTCTCACAGATATGCGCACAGTCTCCCTGGCTTCAAACTGTGATCGCCGTGAAATGGATGCTCGCGCAGACATGCATCGGCCAAGTCTCCTTGTATGCTTTTCTTTCTCTGCCCTCGGTGAGCTGTTTTCTTTCTGTCTTTAACACTCAAAGCAAAAGGCTGAATTCGTTTCAGTGTCTTTTTGTTAAGTAGGCTACAGCTCCTGAAGAGTCTCTCTCTCTCTCTCTGTCTCTCTCTCACTCTCTCTCTCTCTCCTCTCTCTCTCTCTCTCGCTCCCCCCCAATCGCCAGGTAGCATCTTTTGCCTGTACCATGTGCACCATATGGCGTGCAGTCTGTGTTCCAACATTGGCAGAGGATACAGGGATCCCAAATTTTGATCCAAGGTTATGGAGTGTGTCCTTAAGGGGGGTTACAGGGAACACCACTATTTAGTAATATGACTACTAAATAATTTCTTGTAACATACCCACATTTAACATGATTTGCTCATATTTAGCACCCATGCATATGATAGGATCATAGATAGGCAGTTGATTATCTTTGTCAACAATATTCACTCTCCTACTAATTGAGATCACTTAGAGCAGTGACTGTCAGTGGGTGATGAGCAGAGGCACCCAGGGACCTGGAGATTACTAAACAAATGAGGAATTGTTACGTTTCACAATAATTTAATTGATCGGAGATGGCTGCATTCAGAGAATGAATAAAAAATATATCCTAACAATAGCTTTCACACTCTTACCTCAGTAAGTGCTGTACTTAAGCATTTGAAACATGAGTTTTGTTACTGTGCTTTTGTATGATTTGTGATAGAGGTCCTTGGGACAAAATCTCTCCAGATGGGATTCAAGCATGTATTTATTTGGCAACCATGACATGAAACAGATAAGGAGCCCTTATTGAGGATTAAATTATAAGAAAAATATTCATCTTCCTCAAGAATGTTACTCAAAGACGAATACAATTATTTTGCTTTGGTTCCATGTATTACAACAGATTTGGTCTGTGGGCTCATGTGTTCCCACTGTAACATCACCTGGGGTACAGCTGAGGGTGCCTTGCAAACCAGGCAAAGCAAGCACCTGCTCCACAGCCCTGGGTACTCCATGAAAAAGTGCATGTGGAATATGTTAAAAATAAACATTTATTGAGTTTTGTATTTATTATGAACATTCATAAATGTATTTTTATGATATTACAGCAAAGTAATCTTTGGGACACATTGCATTCCAGTGTAGCATAACTGGAGAGTAAGTAATTTTGTCTGGATTCCCTAATAGGTCCATCCAGACAAGGGTACCCCTCCATGTTGTCACATTATCATCCCCAGTTCCCCATAAAGTTGAAAATCACGTGACCGCTGTGCAGCAGATCATTGCAGATTTGAGTCAAGCAAAGAATTGGCCTACAGAAAGGTGTGTCCTGTACTGTAACTGTATGTTTTCTGTTTGAACTTATGAACGCAATTGGTCCTCACACACGTTAACCACATGGTCCCTGGACACTGTAGACCCCCTCCCCAACAGATGGGTGGACGACGCTC